TATCATCATAAATTCCACTAATAAATCCATACACAATAATTATTAATAGAATGAAATTTTATAATTTTTAAAATAAACCTAGAAATGAAATCATATTTTCCATTTAGGTCGTGGGTAAGTACTTCAACCATTTGGGTCAAATGGATAATTTCATGATGTCATAAATAAATAAAACAAGTTTAGAAATATAAAAAATACAAAAATATAGAAAAAAAAGAAACTTTGAAAAAAAAATTGGACACTAAAAATTATTTTTTTTAAAATAAAATAGTACAAAAAATATGAAACAATTTCGGGCACATCTATAATGTTATATACTAATAATATAAACAATAATAAGTATGATAAATAATAATTGATTTATCAATGATATAAATGAAATGCAAATTTTAAAATAGTTTGAAAATGAAACCATTTCCATATTTAGATGGTAGGTAGGTCAATGATCTAACATTACGGGCAAATGGGTCAATCTATGATGTCATAACTAAGTAACAAATATTAAATAAATACATACATACATATATAAAATCAAAGAAAAATATAAGCTTTGTATAAAGCATTTTGATACAATTCTATTGTTATATATTCACCATATTAAACAAAAATAAATATGAAAATAAGAATTACTTTTATAGATGATGAAAATGGAATACATGATTTAAAATCACCTGAAAAAGAAAATTAGTCTTTCCATCCAAGTGATGGGTTAATGGTTAAACTATGTATGTCAAATGGATGTTATTATTAAATAATAAAATACATAAAATTTTAGAAAATGTAAAAATTTGTTGATAATTTTGGGTACATTCTATAATATTATATATTCATCATATAAAAAATCATATTTGAATTAGGGTATATTCAAATATGATTTGATCCATTGATTTGATCAGATCTCATAAGTATTGATTCAAATCTGAATCCAATCAAAATGTCAAATATTCGAATCTGATACGATCAGATTTAATTTTTTAAAAAAGCAATAAATTATTAAAAGAAAAAGAAAAATATAACAATTGAAATAAAAAACAAAAAATATAAGTATTTTTTCAACTATTTCCATCATATAAAAAGTTTACAAAAAATGCAATATAAATAACATATTTATAAATAAATAATCAATAACATATATATTATATATAAATAATATATATACTATATATAAATAATTGATTTGACCATAATATCAAAAACCAATATTCAAACAATATATTGGAATTGCATTTCCTCTTAGTAAATAAGTAATTTTTATTATCTTATAAATTAAATAATAAAAAATAAAAATATAGATTTTTTTATAAATTTTATAAAAAAATTGAACATACATTAATATTATATATTCTTCATATTAAACAAAAACATATTTGAAAAAATGAGAATTATTGTTAGTAAAGATAGAAATGGCTAAAATACAAAGAAAAAAAATGAATTAATGTCTTAATCATAGTCCATTTTCCTAGTTAAATAGGTTGATGGCTCAACCAGCAATGTCCTTTGGTTACTAATTATTATCATCATCATCATTTGATACTATCACATGCAAAAAATAAATGCAAAAATAAGAATTACTTTTATTGATAATGAAAATGTAATACATAATTTAAAATCAATTAAAAAAGAAAAAAAATGGTTTTCCATTCAAGTGGTGGGTTAGTGGTTCAACTATCTATGTCAAATGGATAAACACGTGATGTTATTATTAAATAATAAAATACATAAAATTCTAGAAAATGTAGAAATTTGTAGATAATTTTGGATACATTCTATAATATTATATATTCATCATATAAAAAAAGTGTGATCAATGAGAATGATTTTCATTAATGATAGAAATGGGATAAAAATTAGGAATAAAAATAAAGAGCATTAATGTCTAACACATGACCCCACTAACCATGTCAAATGATTCAATGATTTAATTAGCTAGGACATTGTAGGAAAGTGGTTTGGCAGGGATGCAAATAGATCGGATCGGATTTAAATCAAAAAATATTTGAATTCGATTCGACCCAAAGATCTAATCGGATCTCATAAATATTGATTCAAATCTGAGTTTGATCAATGTGTTGGATATCTAAATCTGATATAACCTGATTTAATTTAAAAATACAATAAATTATTGGGTAAAATACAAAAAACCTCCCCTAAAGTTTCTGACAATAAGAAAAACCTCCCCTTTAGTTTCATTTTAATAAATACCTCCCCTAAACTTTTAAAAAATCCAATAAAATCTTCCTTTTTGTCACTAACGCAGACAGAAAATATACAAAGTAGACCTATTCATGGGCCGGGCTCGGGCTTGGCTATTGTCAAAATTCTAATGAGCCCGGCCCGAAGCCCGAGACAGTGTAAAATCGGGCCCGAAGCCCGGCCCGTGAACAGGTCTGATACAAAGTTACGAAATTATCCCTGACAATTGTCATTTAAAACATTTTTAAAAATCAAAATTATCCTCATTCGAGCAACAACACATTCACCACTTTTAACATTCTTTTTCAAATCAAAAGAAAATAATATGGCTGTGAGTGGGGAAATGCAAAGAAGTCAAAAAGGAACTGAGCAGCTTGGCAGTAAATAAGGGGATCCCGGAGGGCATTGGGTTTCGGCGGTTGAAAACTATTTTCAGGTGGCCGGCGTAACAGGCACAGAAACTACTAAAAGGAGTGTTTCTAAGATATTTGAGGAGCTACAAGTCAGCACTGTAGCTGCAGTGAGGGTAGTCCGCTGGAGTGCCGTCTTCCAGCTGCAGCGACGTCCCAAAGTGACTGAAATTTTCTTTATTCAGTATACCATGGAGTGTTGTGGAAAAAGAAACAATTGATTTCAATGACTGAAATTAAAGTAACGACGATAGTAGAGAAAGAAGACCAAAGTGAGAGAGAACTGAGAGTGCCGTCTTCCAGCTGCAACGACATCCCAAAGCAGTTGATAGAGCGAGTAGATTCTAATATTCTATGCAGGATTATGCAACCTTTATTAGGGTTTGGAATGCGTCTGTTGAACAAAGAAAAAGGTGGAGAACAGAAACAGACATTCGGATGAGTGAGATTTCTTTCTTTTATTTTGATATTCGATGAGATTTATTTCTTGTACAGACAATCAAATGCAGGATTATGCAACCTTTGGTCTCCTTTCATCTGCTTCTCTTTTGGCTTCTTCTCTACTGCTTCGAGTTCTGCAAATTTTCCATGCCATGTGCCACCATTAACTACTACATTCTTCTTCGTCTGTTAACTTACAATTCGGGATCAGCCATTGCTTTTTCCTTCCTTCTCCAACCCTGGATATTCTCTTAGCAAGCTGAA